CTCTGCTGCATAAAGATACTACAGAGGAACTTAACAAGTATGTCATGAGTGTCTGATATAAAATAATTCCTTTTCTCATTCTGAAAACAAAGCAAAATAAAACAGGGTTGGTACAGTTGTGCTGTAACTAGGCCACAAAACTGGAAAATTGAGGCAAAATCATTGTCATATGTAAGTGATAGTAGTGGAAATGTGAAGAAAGTTCTTTGCGTTGTCATGGCTGCAGTTCCTGCCTTGGTCAGGTGGGCGCATGCAACCAGGTCGTTCGTTCAGGGCGACCCGCACGGATTTTTGGTGGTTTGGGTGGAAGGTGCCAATTGCACAGCCTGGGACCCTTTCTTACCCTGGGGACCTCGCTGCTGCAGGGCGGGCTCCCGGGGAGGGGCGTGTCTCCACCTGGCCCCGCCCCTGAAGTCCCGCCCCTTCCCGGCACCAATGAGCTGGCGCACAGCCCGGGCGCAGGGAGTGGCCGCGCCTGATAAGGAGGCGTGGGTGGTGGGTGCTGAGGTCCGCTGCTAGTCGTTGGTGTGGCCCGCGCCTGGGTGTGCTGCAGCGGGAGGAACCCAGGTCCCGGGCCGAGGCTGCCCCGGGAATGGTTTTAGTCAGCACAAACATGGCTGCGGCCCTGCGATCTGCGGGCGTCCTGCTCCGCGATCGGCGTAAGTGGGGCTGTCGCGGCCGCCGCCGAGGCGGGGACAGCGGGCAGCTGGCGCCGGGGTCCCCGGGCCTGGGAACTTCCAAGGAGCGGCGGCGGGCTGCGCAGGAAGCTGCCCGCGACGGGGCGAGGGGCGGAGAAAGGATCCGGAAAGGGGCGCTCCACTGGGAGGGGCGAGAGTGGGGTACGTGGGTCCCCCGAGGACCCTGAGAGGCCGCGGGGAGGGGTCCCGGAGTCACATCGGTCCGCTGGGTGGCCGTGAGCAGTGACTGAATTTCTAAGAGCCTTAGTTCTTATCTGTAAAATAAGAATAATGATAGTTGCAGGATTGTTGTGATTTCGGGAGGCAGAGTGTGTTAAGGGCCTGCCACAGAGAGACAGTACCGTTGGCATCATTATCCTCATTATCACCATGGGCATCTACCCTGGGGTTCCCTCTCTGGTGGTGGAGGTCACACTGTGCCCACTGCTGCCCTGGCCCATGGCATCACCCGGTGCTCACTTGTCCTTGGCAGCAGGACCCACCGCGGGGCAGCTCAGGCTAGTATTTTCTAGAGATATTTGGAGAAGAAGTAAGACCCATGGACAACCTCACACGTTTCTGATACAGACGTGAATGTAGGTTGTGTCCACAGGATGAGCGGACGGGACTCTGGTTCAGACACACCTGGTTGGGTCACTAGCTCTGCAGCATTCCTGTGACCCCCCTGAGTGAGGCATTCACCCCAGCTTGAACTTTGCTAAACATAAAAGAAGGTAATACCTCATAGGCTTGCCGTGAAGATTAACAGGATACAGGTAAAGCCTGTAGCACAGTCCCTGGCACACAGTAGATACATAAATAACCTCAAAATGTTCAGTTATTAGTATGTTAAAGGCTGCCACCTACTAAGATGGTTAATTTGTATATTTGAATGATGACTGGACACAGACCTGACTTATTTTTCTAAGAAGTTCCCTAATTCATCAATCTGTCACCTACTGAGAAGGAGTGGAGAGTCCACTCTGAAACTCCGTATCTTATTACAGGTGCCTTTGTTGGAAAAATAATAAGGACCCAGTGTCCAATGACAATCAGGTCACTAAGGGCAGTGGGAGATGAAAGACATTATCTTTTAAGAAAAGGAAGCACAGTGCCAGTAACGGGGCTGAAAGAAGTATCAAATTAGTCTTTTCTTTCACCGACCCTTCCTGTGGCAAAGAAAGTCTGACAGGCTCTAGAGTTGAGGTCATAGAACAATATGAGAAACTTTAAATGCTTTGTTGTCCCGGTTATAAGTAACCAAGTGGAAGGATTCAGAAACCACAGCAGAAGTAGATTTGAAGTTCAATTGAATTACAGACTCTGATTTTAGATGTACTTATAATACTTTAATTATCTTGTTTTATATGAAGGGATTAACATCTGGGTTAGAAAAAATTGAGTAGTATTTCTCAAAATGAATTCTCAAAGTAGAAAAGCAAAGTTTTACACTCTATGTTTTTAACATAGTACAGAATTAATAAGAAGCTCCCTAGTATATATGTATATGGTATATATGTATATTTTAGAAAGTTAATAGAATAAAGAATTATTGTTTCTTTGTGACGTTTTCTTTCCAGATTTTTTTTTTTTTTTTTTTTTGGGTCGCGGGCCCCTCACTTTTTTGGCCTCTCCCGTTGCGGAGCTCAGGCTCCGGACGCGCAGGCTCAGCAGCCATGGCTCACGGGCCCAGCCGCTCCACGGCATGTGGGATCTTCCCGGACCGGGGCACGAACCCGTGTCCCCTGCATCGGCAGGCGGACTCTCAACCACTACGCCACCAGGGAAGCCCCTCTTTCCAGATTTTTTACGTTAGGCTTATATGCCTTTTGTAATTGGAAAAAACAAATCTAGAATAAAGAAAAGAATATCAATGTTTAAATTAATACATGAGAACATTCTGGCTCCATACTAGAAAAATAACAATTTTTTTCTTAAAGCCTCCCCTCGCCAAGTGTTTATTAATAGTTACAATACAGAACCTTATTTCTGTTAATTTTTAAAATGATACTCATGTTTATAAGGACCTTTTGAAATAATTTTCATCTGCTGTGTGATAGAAAAGGGCTGCATTGGGTACTTGTGTATCTTGTTTTCTACCCTCCCACCTACCACCCCCAAGCATCCAAAATATTAAATAATTGTTTTGGAGAATCACTTGATACCCGTGAACTTCTTAAGTCACAGGTATACTTTTGAATGATTCACCTATTGGGTGTGTCCAGGAATTAATGAAGTTTTGTTTTCTTACATCATCTTTTCTGCATATCCCTTGGTTTTATAGCTTTTATTGTTTGTAGGCCTTCCAAAGGTAGACCAGTTGTCCGTGCCAAGAGTAGGGTTAGAATTACCTGGTCTTAGTTCATAAGTGGGCAGATCCTTACTATTGAGTGTTCTTACTTCATGCATTGTGCCAGACACTGTTCTTGGGGCTGGACATAGATTTTTAAAAATTTTCCTCATCTTTACAACAGCCCTGCAAGTTTGGCCTTATCACTGTTCTACAGATGAGAAAAGTGAGGCTTGGAGTAGCTCAGTGAGTTGCCCAGTTGCTGTCACACAGCTTGTTTGGTCCTATCTGGAATTTCTGCTCAGATCTCTCTAGCTCCAGAACACACACTTAACACCACACGATGCTGCCTGTGCCTTTGAATTTCTCTTAAGCTGTGAGCTGAGTGTATTCAGGAGTCTCCTTTGGTTCTCTGAATAATTACTTTAAACTCCTTTAGCTAGATTAGTACTAATCATTTGGTAGGAGATACTCTGTTTTTCTGGAGTCTTCAGATCATCAAGGGAGAGGAGTGTTTTAGAGAAGTCCTTGAGAGGTGGGTGTGTTAACCCTACGTCCTGAGTAGAAAGGATCCATCATTAGCATCACCTTCTTTGAGAATTTATTTAACCTCAGAGAGGAGAATTTTGTAAGTAGAGGGCACGGCAATAGTTTTCGGCAGCTTGAAAATCTACCAGCTCCCAAACTGTACTAAGCGATGCTAATGTACTGGTTGGAGACTCTAGTCTCATCCTTATTCCCCACCCCTACCCCACCCCCTTTCAAAGTTTGCAGGAGGAAATCTTATTATATTACCAGCAGTCAAATTATGTAATGCCAAAGTTCTATTCTGATACCCCATGGAATCTGATATAACCTCATTTATATAAGGAATTGCAGACATCGCGGCTTGATTGAGAACCTGGTTAAATCTCATCGTGCAGTTCAGAATTGAACTTGTCTGAAATAAGGAGATGTGAGTTGGTTTGAGACTTCATGTGAGCGGAATTGAAGTTCTTTATGTCAATCTTTGCACTTCTGCTTTGAGTTAATAAGGATTATTCAGCTCAAGCTCACGTAATTGGCTCTGTTGGGAACGTGCACAATCTGGATAGTTGGAAATCTAAGTGGCCTGGAAATATCATTCTCCTATATTTTATAGACCTGCTAGGTGATAAAAAAAAAAAAAGAAAAAAAATCAGAGAAGGTGTAGTCCCTACGCTCTAGACACTTACCAGGGGAAATAATACTGGTACCAATATATGAGGCAGGCCCTGTGAAGAGTGCTTCACTGGCCTTATCTGCTGTAATCTCTACAAGGATGCAGATAACAGGGTTCACCATTTTACAGCTGGGGAAACTAAGGCTCACAAAGATTATAACCCAGCCCCAGTTACATTACTGGTAAGTGGCAGGACTGGATTCAGAGTCGGGTCCGTTGGTCCACAGCCCGGGTTCCTCACCAGAACACCTTTGACTCGTAAGTAGGAGGAGGGTAGAAGGAGGCTGATCTCAGGCTGGTTTCAGACCTGCTGGTTTGAGCCTGGGGAAGGGAGGTTGTGTGTATACTGCGGGGCACGGTAGTAACTACTGTCCTGCATTTTGCCATCTTGAGTACCTACTGTGTGGTTTCAGTTTAATTTCACTCTGTGTTGTTTAAGGATGAATACCCTTCATGCTATAACTGGGTATGGCCCATGGACTCCTCGATCCAGATAGGCTCTCCAGGCCCACAACTAACTTTGTGGTGCCCAGGACAAGACCCGTATACAGCAAGCTAACAGGCTGTGAATTATGTCCTGTTCTGCCGTGCTGACAAGTAGACCTTGCTAATGGCCTGGAAGGGTGAACTCTTGAACTCTTCACAGTTCCTGCAGAAATGCCTCGGCCTTGAGAAAGTTGCCTCGGGCGGGCAGACTTCCCTGCTTCTCTTCCCACTCCTGGCCTGCCCGGCATGGTGAAGAGTCTTGTGCATACTCCAGTGTGTATGTATGTTCAAGCTCCATTCTTGACCCTATGAACAGCCACCAGTTGGCTACCCTTCAGATCAAGAATTGCTTATACTGATGGTGCGATCTGCCATCAGGAGGATGGATGCAGGAAAGAGGTCTGCGCCAGACCCTGGAAGTGGAGCTTTTGGGGCAGGGAATTCTGAGGTCCTGGGTCCTGGGAGCCTGCTCAGGAATAGGGGGCATGGACTCTGGGGGTCCATGAATCCTTGGCCATGCAGATGGCATACCCCATGGGGCAGGGTGCAGAAGGAGGTGGACCAGAATCGGCCCTTGAAAGCAGAGCACCTCCGTCCCCCGGCCCTTGTCAGAGTCCAAGGGCAATTCTGGGGGTCTTAGTTCTGGTACTATATTGGAGAAGGCTAGGAGGCAGATATGAGATCTGTGCAAGTGGTGGAAAACTGGCCCAATTTTCACTCCTTAAATCAGTGTTTCTTAACCTTTTCTGCAGGCTCCTCACCTTTCATATGAGCAGTATGCTGCCGTCATAACATGCGGTGATCTCATGAGGGATCATATCAAAAGCGGTGGCCAAGGCAGTGAGAGGAGGTGTGTGTGGCTTCTAAAAAGGCTCCATGCAAGTCCTGTAAGCCATCCTAGGGGATGCCATCCCACCCCCTCAGAGAGGTCTTAAGAGCCTTCACCCACCTGCAGTGAAATGCTGGGGAAATCACCTCTGCTGTAGCATCTCTATTAAATTTTAGATCCAGGAATTATGCTCTGAGGACCTCTTCAAAAGCAATTACTTTCCAGCTAGATTTCATGCTGCCACTTTAATTTTGTCACAGTGGTATATGGTGGCTCAAGGGCCTGTCAGCCACGGAGGTGCCAGTCGGGTGCAGCAGCTGCCACAGAAACAGCCCAACGTGCCAGAAGCCCCAGATGTCAAGTTCAGCCGGGGAACAGGTATGAGTCTAATTTTAGGTACTAATAAGGATTTCTCTTTCTTGACGCAAACACCGGTGGATACCAGCTACCTAGGAGAAGAGGTGTTGGGAAAACTCAGTATGTAAGGAGTGGTATGTTATTTTCTTGGCTTCCTTTCAATAGCTGTTAAACTTATAGATTGCACCCCCAATTAAGGCTTTAAAAGTGTTTTTGAATTTTGATAGATTTTTTTACATTTTCTGTTAAAATTTTTTTCCCCAGCTTTATTGAGGTCTGGTTGACAAATAAAAATCCCACAGGGCTTTTGTTAAAGGACACAGAGTTGAGTACAAACAATCTGCAAATCGTGTGGGAATTTAGTTTTGGAATATGTCCCATAACAGAAATTATGTGTATGCTGGAAATATGTTTATGAACCTAACATGATTATACTTATGAAATACATCTCCTGTGCAGGAAAAGGAATAACTAATCCACCAAGAATTTCTGTAGTAAACTGTTAAGGCAGTGAATATTATTGTAAATGCCATAATGTGATTTACAGTTTATTAAAGAAACAAAGTACGTTCCCTACCTCACCTCTGCTGTTTGCGGGTGGACGTCAGCAGGCATGGCGTTGCTACTGGGTGTCCTCTTCAATATCAGAGGCCACAACTGTTTTCAAGTCTTCCTCTGGTACAGAGGCAACAGAAGGCTGCAAAGGTCGCTTTTTAGATGAGTACACAGATAGGAGTTATGCACTTTAACACTGGGCAGAGAGAAAGTAGCTCTGAACTATTAATGCCTTGACCTTTCTGGTAGACCAGATGTTCCACGAGAGCTTTACAGCTTTGAAAATAGTCATATTTTGTGTTTGTTACTTTTAATTGTGTGATCCTGGGTATGATGATGGAGCACTTAGTGAACTGAGGTTTGCTGGGGATAGGGCAGTAGGGTGGGGTCCCAACTCATTTCCTTTCGACTCTCCGGCCTCCTGAAAAACCACACGTGGGAAGGGAGACAGGAAGCACAGACACTGTCTCCATCCTGGGGGCATGCCCAGCAGGACGCCACTCCTCCTTGCCCCCCACGGCCCCTCTTTTCTCACCTCAGCCATAGTACAAAGTGCTTTAAGTATTTCGGGTTTGGGGTAAGTATTTGGTGTAAACTGAAGAACTAATTGGATGTGGAACCCTGGGAGAAAAATTATTTCATTACTATGTTATCCTGGTGGCAAAAGTCAACAACATAAATTGCCTTAAGGGCTTCCCTGGTGGCGCAGTGGTTGAGGGTCCGCCTGCCGATGCAGGGGACGCGGGTTCGTGCCCCGGTCCGGGAAGATCCCACATGCCGCGGAGCGGCTGGGCCCGTGAGCCATGGCCGCTGAGCCTGCGCGTCCGGAGCCTGTGCTCCGCAACGCGAGAGGCCACAACAGTGAGAGGCCTGCCGTGCCGCAAAAAAACAAAAAACAAAAATTAGAGATGCTGAAGTGGCGAGTGTCTTTGTGAGTCATTCTGATGCCAGATATGATGAAGGCCTCGTGCTGCTTAGTGCTCAGACTACTCTAGACAATGCTACACTACAAATTTGTCCGCAAAGGGCTGAGTGGTACATGTTTTCAGGCTTCGTGGGCCATTTGGTCTTGTTTGCTGCTATTCACCTCCCCCATCATAATGTGAGAGCAGCCACAGGTGATACGTAAACAAATGACTGGAACTCTGTTCCAATAAAACGTTTTTTAAAAAAATTTATTTATTTTATTTATTTATTTTTGGCTGTGTTTGTGTTGGGTCTTTGTTGCTGCGTGTGGGCTTTCTCTCGTTGCAGCGAGCGGAGGCTACTCTTCGTTGCGATGTGTGTGCTTCTCATTGCCGTGGCTTCTCTTGTTGCAGAGCACGGGCTCTAGGTGCACAGGCTTCACCAGTTGTGGCTCATGGGCTCTAGAGCACAGGCTCAGTAGTTGTGGAGCACGGGCTTAATTGCCCCGTGGCATGTGGGATCTTCCTGGACCAGGGCTCGAGCCCGTGTCCCCTGCATTGGCAGGCAGATTCTTAACCACTGAGCCACCAGGGAAGCCCTGTTCCAATAAAACTTTATTTACAAAAGTAGGCAGGGGGTGTGTGGGCAAATTTGACCCATGGACTGGAGTTTGCCAAACCCTGTTCTAGAGGCAGCATAGATCCTCTGGCCAATTACATGTTGGAGATTTAATGAAGAGCTGGGATTTGTTTTTTATCTTGATGATGACTATATATAGTAGAATAGAATTAATCTGTTCCTTTGTTAATTGATGAGCTTAAGTTTTGGTTTGTCCAATTAATAGTTCAAAGGAAAAACCTCATATTTTGAGAGTGCAAGAATATAAATGGCAAAATGTGGCAACCTTTTCAAATGAGAAGCTTTCAATATGTTTGCCGTACACGCTTTTACATTCAAACAAGGGGAACTTGACCATTCAGACTTTGGTGTCAGATGTTCTGTGTCTGGAGGGGAGAAGAGACAGCAACCCTTGACTAAAGCTTTGCAGTTCACATTCGGGAATAGAGGGATGTTGGACTAGGGCTTCCTAATGCGCCATTCGTCATGCACAACACAGTTTTGAATTAAGTGCAAGCGTATTTAGGTATTTTCAAATTGTGTGTTTCTTTCATGTATAAGATCAACATGGTTTGCAAAACATGGGTTTGCAGGGTAGAGTAACATCCCATTTAAAGCCACTCTTGTTCTGAGCTCAGGTGTTATAGATGAAAAACAGTTCTAAATCCTTTTTGCACATTGATGCCCTCTGTGGCTTAGGTAAGTCTCTTAGCGTGGGGTTTCTTAACCAGTAATCTGTTAACTGGTAGCAATTCATGGAAAAATGCACTTAATTTATTGTGAGTCACAGCTTTTGAGGGTGAGAGACAGAATCCCAGAACACCAGTGGCCTAAGTAGAAAGATTAAGGGAATATTACAATTTCACAATATAATGAATCTGGAATTTTCAGGTATCAAGAAAACAAAACACCAGTTTGTTAATTCATTGATGGGACTTCTGGCCCGAGGGGGTAGAAGAGTTATGGAACAACAACTTCAATGTGGTTGCTTGGTTTAGTAAAAAGAGATTAAACCCCTTTCCTCTAACACAGTGGTTCTGAGCAGAGGGTGGGATGGGGGATCATTTTTGTCCCTGGGACATATTTGGCAATGTCTGGAGACATTTTTGGTTGTCACAGCTGGGGTAGGGTGTGTGCTATTGCCATCTAGTAAGTAGAGGCAAGGTTGCCACTAGACCTCCTACAAAGCACAAGACAGTCCCACAACAAAGGATTATCCAGCCCCCAATGTCAGCAGTGCTGAGGTCAAGAAACCCTGGCCTAAGACAATGATGTGAAAAAAGCGAACTTGCTTAATCTATATAATGGGGTCTAAATTAGAAAATCCCCGAGTTCATTGTAATGCAGCACTTCCCTTTCCCCAGAAATTGGTTCTTATTTTGAAAACTTAGGCTGAGAATTCAGATTTCTACTTCATCCACCTATACTATGTTTGATCAAGAAAATCGTTTCTACTTGTATAAATTTGACACACTCTGTTGCCTAAAATTATTGCCAAACATTATTAACATTTTTTTAAAAATTACAATTAAAATGTCATCATGATATCATTAGCTTTAGAACACGTTAAGAGCAATCTTCCAAACGAGACCCATCTCAGCAGGATTGCTGTAGTCACTGCATTAGCTAGAGGTGGTCTTGGCGCAGGAGATTCAGAAAGTAGACCCCTCGGCATTTGTAATAATGATGTTTTAAATCAACATCAGGCTGCTTATTCCTCGGCTGCTTTATCAAGAGTGAACGGAGAGGATACCCATACGTTGGAGTATTATTCAGCCATGAAAGGGAAGGAAGTACTGATTCATGCTACAATATGGATGAACCTTGCAAATTTTATGCTAAGTGAAAGAAACCAGACACAGAAGGCCACATATTATGATTCTATTTCTGTTAATAGGCAAATCCATAGGCCCAGAAAGTAGATTAGTGGTTGCCAGGGGTGAGGGAGAGGGAGAATGGGGAATGGCTGTAACGGATAAGTGGGGTTTTGGGGGCTGAGGAAAATGTTTAGGAATTAGATAGCTGTAATGGTTGCCTAACCTTGAGCATATATTAAAAGACACCAAATTGTACAGTTTAAAATGGCAGGTGTTATGGTATGTGAATTATATCTAAATGTTTACAGTGCACAAAAAGAAAAAAAAGGATGAGTGGACGAAACACTCCTTGTCCTTTCTTTTCCCCACCGGCAGCCTCTTTCACTCCTGTCACAGGAGGAAAGACAGGCCCGCAGTTCTCCACGCTCCCATCTCAGGCTTTGACCTTGTGGCTCCGACCAGAGTCATGGTCTTCTGGTGGCTCCCCGAAGCTCAGGGGAGACACTTGGTCCTGCTCTGGCTCCATCTTGCCCCCTGGCTGGTTTAGGAATAGAGAACTCGTCGTGGCCTGGCTCACTTCGGCGGTGCAGGCCTCAGAGCAGCTCTGGATTTTATAAGTTTACATTTTTGCATAGTCCTTTTTAAAAAAAATTTCCCAGGAGCTGCATGACTTTCTTTTTGTTTCCTTTTGTTCATCCAGTGGTTGATTCTTTAGCCTGGGACGAATTTGAACAATTCAGAACAGCGTTTTACAGGAATTACCTAAGTAGTGGGTTTTAGATGAAGGATGGCGAGGTGAGTGTAAAGTGAGAAACGTAGTTTATCACAGCAGGGGACACTGAGCAGGAGTAGAGGCAGGCTCTGGAGAAGGAAGCAGAGTAGCAAGAAATAATTTAAGCCATTAATAATTTAATAATTAACTAAAGAGAAGGGAGTAAATAAGGGCTGATAGTTTACTGGGGAGGTTTAAAATTATAGGGAAACCCACGGCTCCTCTGTGTAGAATAGAACCTACTGTTCGTGCCAGCTTATGCTGAATAAGTACATTATGCACTTAATTCTCAAAATAACTTTTTGAGGTAATTGGTGGACTCTCTATTTTACAGATGAGGAAACTTAAGCTTGGAGAGATCAGGTAACCTGTGTAGGCACGAGGCAGTCATATGAACAAGTGTTTCAGCCTCAGGACAATTTTAGGTTTACACCTTGACCCTCAGTCCCCAAAGAATGGGATCTTTGTTCAGGGCTGACAGTTTAATAGAGGAATATTTGGAGCCCAGGGAAAGTCCAGGCACAGGGATGGAGCTAGACGGTGAAGGTCAGAGTCTGAGCTGGGACCTTGGACTGTGCAGAGCTGGAGGCCTCATGTGTTCACTGTGATGGCAGTGAAGAGATCTGTAGCTTTTCATCTTTGCATTGAACAGATTAGATGAGAGTTTGCTAGCAGAAACAAAATTCTACCGTAGAAGTGTTACAAATCAATTGTTGCCTTTTGATTTATGTAGGAAGCCGAAAACTGGAATATTAATGCTGAACATGGGAGGCCCTGAAACCGTCGGAGAAGTTCACGACTTCCTTCTGAGGCTCTTCTCGGATCGAGACCTCATGACACTTCCTGTTCAAAAGTAAGATACATGTAAATGCCTATACTTATCCATAACCTGTGCAGTGCATTTTGCCTTCCATGTATCTCAGTTCTGTAGTTAAAAAATAAATAAATAAACGGTTTTAGTGCACATCTGGTAGTGCTAGAGCAGCATTCTTATTTTCTATTAGTTATGAGAAGGCTATGATGTAAGAAGAATTGTGGGGGAGAGAGAAAGCAAGTTAGCGAGGATTCCCCTTGGGCTGTTTCCTTCCCAGAGCTCTGGAAATTGCAGCGGTCTGGACACAGCTGAAGGAGCTATAAAGATGTATTTGTACTTTGTACTTAACTAGCACTCAGGGAAGCAATGAGTATTATTCATTGGTGCTGTGGAATTGAGTTCTTGCCGTCCTTCTTCCCTTCCTTTCATTCTTTCCTCCCTCTTTTCTTTCTTTATTTTTTTTTTGAGGTATGATTGATATTTGCTGTATATTTTGATGTGTGTGACTGAGTTTCACAGTATCTTTTTTTAAAAATTGGAGTCTAATTGCTTTACAATGTTGTGTTAGTTTCTGCTGCACAGTGAAGTGAGTCAGCTCTATGCGTACACACATCCCCTCCCTCTTGACCTCCCTCCCCCCCCCCCCCCTCCCCTCCCCCCCCCATCTAGGTCATCACAGAGCACCCAGCATCGGGTTTTTTTTGTTTTTTTTTTGCGGTCCGCGGGCCTCTCACTGTTGTGGCCTCTCCCGTTGCGGAGCACAGGCTCCGGGCGCGCAGGCTCAGCGGCCATGGCTCACGGGCCTAGCCGCTCCGTGCATGTGCGATCTTCCCGGACCGGGGCACGAATCCGCATCCCCTGCATCGGCAGGTGGACTCTCAACCACTGCGCCACCAGGGAAGCCCAAGCATAGGGTTTTTTAATAAAAATATTTATATGTGCATACGATAAAAAATTGCAAATAGTTAATAAGTGTTTATAGTAAAAAGCAGGTGTTTCTTTCCCCTTGGACTCCAGCCTCCCACTTACCCACCCCGGAGGTAAGCACTGTTAGGTCCAGAAATAGTCCAGGCACATCCAGGTGTATATATACGTGCACACACACACACACACACACACACACCCCTTTTTTGCACAAACATGAATGTACTTATGTACATCATTTGGCACTTTGCTATTTTTTTTTTTGAGACTTAATTTTTCTTGGAGATTATTCCATAACAGATTATATAGATCTGGCTCATTCTGTTTTCATGACTGTATGGAATTGCATTGTTTGGTCATACCTTAATTTATTTAACCAGTGCCTCACTGACGGACACTTAGATTGTTTTCAGTGTTACAATGAACATTCTTGTGCATACATCTTTGCTCACGTGGGCAAGTATATCATAGGATTAACATGCATTTTCTTAAATAAGAGGGCTGCACGCTGCCTAATGTCTTGTACGTCCTAGTTCCTATTAGGTACAGGATCCAGAGGTGGTAAGTTGGTAGCTAGCACACAGCCAGGTGCTCTGCACAGGTGTCTGAGCTCCTGAATCTTCAGGGCCTGCTGCTAGAACAGCTTGTAGGGCAGGGTGGATACTGCTCAGAGACTGTCTGGTTCTCTCTCTCTAATCTGGGCCGAAAGAGCAGGCTGTTGTCAGTGACCTCGAGCTTCTGTTTTTAAAGGCTTGATCTTAATAGGCTCTTCTTAAAATTTTGCTTATCTTTTTTTTTTTTTTTAATTGAGTTGAAAATGTTTTTGAGGTTGCTTAGCTGGAATAAAATGATTTCAATGTTCAATGATTTAGTAAGCTGGGACCATTCATTGCCAAACGCCGAACCCCCAAAATTCAGGAGCAGTACCGCAGGATTGGAGGCGGGTCTCCCATCAAGATGTGGACTAGTAAGCAAGGGGAAGGCATGGTGGAGCTGCTGGACGAGCTGTCCCCGCACACAGGTATGGTGCTTCTCAACTCACATCTCACTAGGTTTGTTCTTTCAAAGTATAGTTATGACACTCACAACACTGTTGGAAGCCAACTGCAATTCTGGGTACCAGCAGCTCTCGATTTGCAGGGGGTCCTACATGATGCCCGGCCACTGAACTCAGTTCTTGTGGCATTTTCCTTTGTCCCCAGATGTATGCCTTTTCTATTACTTCCTTATGTTACAAATAAAAAAGCTAAAGTTTCAGAACATTAGTCTCAAAAGGAAGTTGGAGGTGTGTGTTAAGTTGAGCTGGGTTATAAGGAAGAGGCTACCTACCATGAAAAAACAGATGCATACATCATCGTCCTGGAAAGAAATCTCTGGGAAATAGGTTGAGGCTGCTGCTATTGTTGTTTCTTTCTGTGTGGATGACTAATTGGATCAGCATTTAGAGCAGAATTAGCTAGCTGCTACTGCAGCCATGAGGCTCTAAGCAACTTTCAGCAACCGCTTTCAGCTCTTGGCAATACCATGATCGCGAGTCATTTAAGTGCCTCGTTGGGCATGGCACTAAAAAGAGGATTGCACACATCTGGTGACTGTTCTCTGAGAGCCTCTAACGCAAATTATAATGTGCAGAATGAAACATTAACTACACAAAGGAACTCTAAGTGCCGTATTTAATTGCATTCAAGACACCATTGATTGCTGGACGCACCATTGTTTTTATATAATACGAAGACACAAGACCTCTGTCAGTTGATTTTAAGATGGTGTCTGTTGTAGACCAATATAAGGCGTTAAAACAAATACTGTGCATCTTAGGACACATGAAATGTGTTCATTGCAGACAGTTTAGGGCTCAGGATCAGGACAGTGTGACACAGTGCGGACCCTCATGGAGAGCAGCCCCGCTAGGCAGGACCAAAAGCGTTTCATTGAGCAGCAGCTCGAGTTGCTCTCAGAATACACTGTTTGTGTCACACATGGGACAAAGGGCTCCAGCCCTCGGCAGAGCATCTCACTTGGAAAATTGTTCACTTGTGCTTTTGAATATTAGGTTTTCTCCCTGCCTTCACTTGTGGCTTCAGGGCATTTCTTATACAGCTCAGCCACATGTGACACAGTGTATCTTTTAAAATGTGGGGTGAGGGAAACTTGGCTGACCTCACCTCACACCTACCCGATGGAGAACAAACTCTCTAGTCATGAACTGCTTATCACGATCAAATGTTTAGCGTGAACCAGATCTGCAATTGCTACGCTGTCTTCGGTGGACGAAGGCAGCGGAAAGATGCCATTTTTCCTGGTGACGTCTTAGTCTAGCACCCATCACCATAAAAACCCTAGTAGAGTTGTCAGCCTTGAAAAAGGAGTATACATGCGTCCTTCCCACTTCCTTCTTTCTCTGTGGTGAGACTGCTGGCTTGTCCAGACCAGACAGGCCAGCAATGGCCTCTGCCTCCCTGGTTGGTCTGGAAAGAGTCCCATGGAATGACCTGGATGTACAGCATTTTCCACTCGCTATCAGATACCTGGTGTTGATGACCCTAGGGCATATCACCAGCCTCTGTGGCCCACGCTGGGACCCCCGAGGCAGGCAAGTTCAATTCTGCCTTTCTGCTGCGTGGTAGATGACCACCTCATCATTTAAGCAAGCCTGCTTTGGGGGTGTTTAATGCGGCCCAAGACCACCCACGCGTTCATTCATCAGTGGCCTACTGAGTGCCCTGTGCTGGTCAGTACTGCTACTCACGGTTGAAAAACATGGTTTCTACTTACAAGAAGCTTCTAGTCTAGTGGGGCCTTGCTGCTGCAGGCCAGGCTGCTCCAGGGGCAGAGAGAAAAATCCTTTGAAGACTTGCTGGAGGGATATCCTACGAAACGAGTATAACAGCTGGTGATCACACAGAGTGTGGATATAGGAGACAGGAAACAGTCTCAGAGTTTAGCAGGTTCTTTGGGGGAACTTTGCATTGAAGAGCAAGAAGATTACCAGATGTGGCCCTGTGGCCCCCTCGGGGCTCGCCCAGGTTACCCAGAAAGAAGCTTCTCGTCCTGCTGTTCACGCTTTGCTGAGTGGACCTGAAGCTCGGCAGTGAAGCCCCAGCTGCCACTGGGTGGGGCTAGCACTGGGTTCCCTCCCTCCCTCACCCCTTCCTGCTGCTTCTCCTTCCTGCTTTCAGGTTTCCTTTCTTTCTTTCTTTTTTTTAACATCTTTATTGGAGTATAATTGCTTTACAATTGTGTGTTAGTTTCTGCTGTATAACAAAGTGAATCAGCTATACAGAACACTCTATGACATAAATCACAGCAATATCCTTTCTGACCCACCTCCTAGAGAAATAAAAACAAAAATAAACAAATGGGACCTAATGAAACTTAAAAGCTTTTGCACAGCAAAGGAAAACATAAACAAGACGAAAAGACAACCCTCAGAATGGGAGAAAATATTTGCAAATGAAGCAACTGACAAAGGATTAATCTCCAGAATTTACAAACAGCTCAGTATGAAAAAGCAAACAACCCAATCCAAAAATGGACAGAAGACCTAAATAGATATTTCTCCAAAGAAGATATACAGATTGCCAACAAACACATGAAAGGATGCTCAACATCACTAATCATTAGAGAAATGCAAATCAAAACTACACCGAGGGGGCTTCCCTGGTGGTGCGGTGGTTGAGAATCGGCCTGCTAATGCAGGGGACACGGGTTCGAGCCCTGGTCTGGGAGGATCCCACATGCCGCGGAGCAACTAGGCCCGTGAGCCACAACCACAGAGCCTGCGCGTCTGGAGCCTGTGCTCCGCAACAAGAGAGGCCATGATAGCGTGAGACCCGCGCACCGCGATGAAGAGTGGCCCCCACTTGCCACAACTAGAGAAAGCCCTCACACAGAAACAAAGACCCAACACAGCAAAAATAAATAAATAAATAAATTAAAAAAAAAAAAAAAGGAGGTGAAGGACATGTCACCTTCTCCATTTAAAAAAAAAACCAAAAACAAAAACTACACCAAGGTATCCCCCTCACACTGGTCAGAATGGCCATCATCGGGTTTCCTTTCTATTCATCTCTTTCTCATTCCTCCTCCCTTCTTATACTTTTTTGCCTACAAAATTATAAAATTTACTTTTGAACTGTGTCTATTTGTTTACATGTATTTGGAAAAGTTCTCTTTAGTCAAAAAAAAAAAAAAGTGATGATTACAAACAGATAAAAATGTTTCAGACTCTCATTTTTGGGGCAAGTAGTTGTTGCTTGGTGGCCGGTATAGATATTTTGAGACTTGCACAGGCTCTGCGTAGAACTACTATTGACTAATTACAGTGCGTTACATGAGGGAATGTGACTTGGAATTGGTTTCATGTAGTAATACTGCATTGAGGTCATTTAGTGGACACAGAAGGAAATAGATGAGAAGTGCAATCATTTCACTTCATGAAAAGTCTAAATCTAAAATACATTTTAAAAATTATAGTTTAGTTATACATGGCTGCTTTTAATGAAGCTCTAAGTAAGTGCTACTCAGTAAAATAATTTCGTTCTTTATTGGATGCAAAATGGGTTCATTTCAGATGGAGCTGGCTTCCCCATCCCTGGTTGTATGACGTCAGGCAAATAACTTACCCGACTAAACCTCATCTTGAAAATGGGGATGATAACAGGACCCAACTCGTAGGACCACTGTGAAAATGAAATGAGATAATCCTGAAAGGCATTAGCACGGTGCAGCGTACATGATAAAAATTCAGGAAATGTGAGCTTTTATTATTCACCATTGGCATAGGGTTCATGATCTGATACAAATTACTAGGCATTATAATAACTTCACACCATTCTCTCAAAGAATCATGTACAAATCAGACATTTGAACTATTGCACGTGCTAAATGAATGGACTGGAGATTAATGAAGTTTTACTGTTTTAAAAATGGCTTTTCTATTTGTTCCTTTTTTTACTTCTTTGTAGTTCTCACCCAGGAGTGTTCACTGAGCAGCTGCTCTGAGGGTGGACGAGGCTGGGCCAGCGAGTCATGTGTTTGGCACTCACTCTGGCCAGATGTGCTGCCCACCAGATGTGGTGCTTGATGACATCCAGGAGACTCCTTCCTCTCCCCGCGCTCCTGCGGGGGGAGCCAGGAGCCTCCGTGCGTGCTTGTTACCTCCTCAGGATAGACCCAGTCGGAGACAGTGCGTTGTCACTTTTTCTAAAATATGTTTTTGCAGGCCGTCTTGAATTGGACCGTTTAGAAAGCATTATCTGTACTTTCCAGAGTATTTTACTCTGTCTCACTTCCAGATATGGTCACCGCCCTGCTTTTATCTGTGAGGGAGGCCTCTCCACCTCTCTTAATCTGTAACATTTGAGGAACTCCCAGACCCCAGGCATTTAGGCTACAACTTTCAACTACCGGGCAGCTGAAAAGAAAACAGGAGAAGCTGGTTGACCCCCAGCATTCAGGGGATCTTACTGTGTCAATCTGATCATTGGATTGTCTCAAGATAGATTAGAAAGCAAATTCCACTTCAGCCTCAGCTCAGAGCACCAAGAGCTCCTGAAAAGTGGACTTGATGATACTGTGATAGTTGGCAGTTTTAGCACGAACCACGTAATCTTTGAACAATCGGTCATTTGGAGTTTGCTTACAGGGCCATGCCCTCTGGGGTGTTTTAACTGCAGGTCACCATATTTTATGCAAGAGACCAAAAAATTGGTAGCCTAGAAGGGACGGGCAGCTGAGAATGATTTCATCTGTACCCTTCCTTCCTCTTCTTGTAGTTCCCAACCGGAGAATACTGAATCAGACTGTCCTTCCCCTGCACAGACATGCTTCTCTTCCCCTGTCGATATTCTGCTTCTGTTCTTGGCAACATGCTCCATTGATTCAGTCCCCTGGGCCAAGTTTCTGAGGAATGTTTTCTATATCTATATCTATATGTAGCACACACATATATACATATGTATAAACTATACACACATATGTATAAACACACTCAGAGAGAGAGAGAGACACACACACACACACACGCAATAAATGTATCATCTTTTTCTTCACTTCAGCCTAAATGTTTCTTGTGGCAGTTTGGTGTCATGTTCTTAGTTGCAGCCCTGGCTTATGCCTGGACAGTGACGTCATCTCAGGTTTACTATTACTTAATGTTTATGTAGTGTATTTTCAACTTCATCCCTGAGTATAAGTTGAGTGTAATCCTATGAAAAGACAAGGAAATAAAACTGGGTAACTTTAGGAAACTTTCAGTTTTATGATTTTATAAACACCTAAGAAATTGGTTGAAGATGCTTTAAAAAGTCAGGAGGAGATAGGAGAGGGAATTGGTAAAGTGATAGGAGAAGGACCGCAAAGATGTGCCCTGACTTGGGCCGTTTAGGTGCCAGAATAATGATTTTTAAATCCCACTTAGCGCCTCCAACTTAAGCATTGTTGTTGGTTTGTTCGTTGATTTGTTTTTCATATAAGTGAGGAGAATCATTTGAATCATTTGTTATTAGTGCACTTTTATCGAGTATCCCAGAGCTTTTATATAAACTAGGTGGCCTGGGGTCTGAGGGAACAGAAGGAGGGGACCCGGGTGTTGGAAGAGGCTGGGGGTGAGCCATGGAAGGAGCACAGGCTTTGGGATGGGGAGACCCACGTTGCAATCTCATCTCAACCATCTGCTAGTTGTGACTTTGGGCAGGTTCATTAACCTTTGAGAGTCTGTTTCCTTATCTGAAAAATGGGGTTTAGATGAGAGAGAAAAAAAAGCACAATGTCTCCCATGGTATCTGGTACATAAGAGGAGGTTATACTTTAAAGATAAATGCTCTCTGCTCTTGAGTCTCTCTTATCTCAGCCAAGAGCAGAGAATAAGGCCCAGAAGCTTGAGTTTTAAAAACCATATGCTAAATGGTTGAACACAGAAAACAGTGGTTAAAAATCCATATACCAGCAGAAGACTGGCTAAAATCCAAGGACTATTCTAAACGTGCTCACTTTATCAGCACCATAGGAAATTAGGGTAACTGTCTTTGTTCTGGACACTGCATCCTGTTTGGAATCTGTATCAAGATGAATGCTTTCTCCTTTCCACACATGCTTCCTAATAGCCCCTCACAAATACTATATTGGATTCCGGTATGTCCACCCGTTAACAGAAGAAGCAGTTGAAGAGATGGAGAGAGATGGGCTGGAAAGGGCGATTGCTTTCACACAGTATCCACAGTACAGCTGCTCTACCACAGGTAAGGCTTCTCTCTGACAGTGGGAGGGTAGATCTGGCCCTGGCAAAAATAACCAGGGAAGCTGAGCGCGGAAGGAAACGATAAATCATTTTCGATTTGAATGGCAAATCCAGTCTGTCTGTTTTAAACATGAGAGTTCAGGTCAGTCCGTTGGAAATCTCATGGTTCGTCTGTCCCTTGAGTTATTAGCCAGTTGACTGAGAATTACAAATGGTGGGTGAAAGGCAGTGGCTTCCAGTGCTCAGTGCTTTAATGCAGCTGTATAATGGATCAGTACTGAACCTTAAGCCACTTTCTCTGTTTGTGTAATAACCCTTATTTTTATGGCTACCCTAATATTCTTATTAATGTAGCAAAGTTGATAGCTGTTTCCATTTTGCCAGCAGAGATGTCCATATACCATTGGAAATATTGGTATGTATTTTGGTTATGCTTTGGTTATGGGTTGGTTCCTGGTTAAACCAAAACCCAGTTTAGGGTTTCCTTTGCAAACTTCTCTCAGTGTTCTAGATTATGGGAAATGTTACTAGGTGTTGTTTCCTATATATTTAATTGGAGCTGGAGAATAATCTGTTTTGCCAATCTCTGTATCATGAGGTATAGGTAAATCTTCTACTGTCACCCACAAATACATTTGTTTACATCCTTTCTCAAGGCTTGCGGTCAGCACATTTTTACTCCCAAATTGCTTTTGGACATTAGTGCATATTATTTCTATAACTATAAGGAGAAAACAAAAGGCTACTGGAAGAAATCTTGGAAGCCTGGTGTGTACCTTAAATATTTTTTCAGAGCACCTGTGAAAATGTCTGAGTTCTCAGACACCCTCAAGAGTTTGAATTGTGATTTCTTTTGGACATGTACCTCAATAACTTTAAAGTGTCTGGTAACGTTATTGGAGAATAAATCAGATTTTATAAATTTCTAAACTATACTTTGGCCGGGCTTTCAAAAATATAACTCAACATGTAAATGTCCTCTCTCAAAATTAAACAAGTTAAGAAGATGGTTATTTATATGACAAAGGATTGACTAGGGTTTCATTTCACAGCTGGCTCTAGCAGTGTGTTTAAAACAGTAGTGTCTGCAGCTTTTCCCTAGTACCTCTGGTGTAAGGGCAGGTACATCCCTTCTTCAGAGATGTGAAAGCCTTTGGGAAGCATGTTCATTCTTTGAGGCCACTAGAGTGTCGTTTATCTGTCGTTTTATTTAGACACGTATTGTGGCAGCACCAGTATATTCTATGTATCAATCACTTTTTTTAATCATGCAATTTTTTTAGTTACGCTTTTCCCTTAATTACTACCTTTGATAGTTCATTGCATGTTTCTGAGCGATTCAGAAGACCTGCTGTGGCTTCTCGAAGTCCTTCTGTACATCTGAAGATGCTGTTCACCTGTGAAATGTGGTTTGCAATGTGAAGATGGTGGTGACTACTTTGTGATTTCTGGAGGGATGGTTTTTGAACCTGGAATGGACTCAATTTGGATTTATCGGACCCATTGTATTCTCAGAAAAATGGAACTCATTTATTCTTCTGAAAATTGAGTCTTAGCCTGAGGGTACACGTGATTTAAATATGGCTTCGTCCTGGCTAGCATTTGAGTTTGGAGACCTAAGTGATTAATAGCTCGCATGGAGAAACCGGTGGTGTTGGGAAGCGTGGCAATGTTTTGGAGCATTTGCCCCATGTGAAGATTGAAGAGGAGGCCCCATGTTAGCGTTAGTCTCCTGGGATTAAGGCTTGGCTCCAGTGCCAGCTCCTCTAGGCCAGAAAAAAGATTGCACTGGGTTGGCACCATCTGCTTTCCCTTAGTCTTCGAATTTTCACGGTTTCCGTCTCTTGTTTAGAAATACAAGTTTTGTTAGATTACCTGTAAGGATCTGGTATTCATTCAACTTATTCTAGGGAATGATGATAATTTTATAAAGCAGGTAAAAACAGAGAGTGCGCTTAGAAACCTTAATAAGCTGCTCTTCTTATCAAACAAGCCATTAAAAAGGATGGTTATAAAGCTTTTATTGTAATGTGGAAAATATTCATCTCATAATACTAAGTAAAAATGCCCTAAATACTCAGGATACAAAACTGCACATGTCCTAAAAAGTATAACTTTGTAAAACAAAACAGCTGTAAAGAAAAATAATTGGAAAGAACTACCTTAGAAGAAAACAATGACTGTATTAGCATTCTGGGGTCACGGCCAGTTTCTTTTTTGCTTTCTTTCCCACCCCCTACATTTTCTGTAAATGGGGTTGATTACCTTCATAATGGGAAAAAAATTTAACATGCTTTCAATTGTAAGACTTGGTCCTTGCAGATAATGACTGCTTGTATTTCATAAATCCGCTGCCATTGTGCTTCTCTAGAGAAGTGGCCTCAATACTCTTGGAAAGGCCATTGAAATTGATTGCTTTTTAGTGATCTTCATTTGCAGGGTAGTTAAATCTATATGCATTTTAGAGTATTGAAGTGATTGTAATTAGACTGATTCAGTGCAGAAGACTTACCTGCTTTGAACTTATTACTGCCTTTACTAGTCTGTTTTTTTATTTTCACCATAGCCCACATGCGTGTACTAAGTGGCCCCTGTATATTTCAGGCAGCAGCTTAAATGCCATTTACAGATACTATAATGAAGTGGGCAAGAAGCCCACGATGAAGTGGAGCACGATTGACAGGTGGCCCACACACCCCCTCCTCATTCAGGTAAGCCAGCCACTGCCAGCTGCGTCTGTCACCCCAGCTTCTGGTGTGAGTCAGGTTCTTGTCCCTGCCTGGTCTGTGGGTGTCCCGAGTCTTACTGTTCTCTTACTTAAATTGTGTGCTGGGGATTAACAAGAGGTATTAGAGTCTTGATTTATTATGACAGGAGGAAATAAATTTAAAGATTAAAGGGTAAACTCTTTTCTTTCTTCAGATTAATAGTATTAGTTACAGACCATGGCAGAATTATGTTTTGAGTTTTGTGTTTCACAGTGACCAAAAGAACGTTAAAGATTATGCGAGGAAAAAAAAAAGATTATGCGAGTTGTTTCATTTAATCTCCATTCATAGACTGAACAGCTGACAAACAGATCCTCTATTTTCTAAATCCTTTAAAGTATCAAAAGATTTAAAAATTTTAAAGGTAATATATCTACATGTTCTGAGACAGAATAAATTTAACATTTCAATTGAGAAAGTTTCATATATTAAAAGAAATTTCAAATTTCTCCTACGTAGTTTATATTTGTAATATTTATAGTAATAGATGTTTGATTTTAGGAGAATCGGTTAAAGCTACAATTCTAAAGCTTTGAATTGGTGTTATTATGTACCTTTTCGCCCTTTGAATAGTGGAGTACTACTGGCTATTGTCCTTGATCAAACAAATATTATTTTGTTCTGTTGGTGGAAATTTCTACCTTCGAGTTAGTTTAGGTAGAAGAAATACTAAGTGATGTGGATTTCATCCGTTTATTTTTCATTCCTCGGACCGTCTCTGGCAAAATACCAGCTTAACACTTTTTTGAAGCCTGGAGTAACTTAAAATCGATAACCACTAGATGGTGGTAGACATCGTTGAAAGCAGGCCGGCTCGCCCCTGAGCGGACGGTGTTTTCCTTAGGCCCGTAGGTGCTGTCAAGGGTTAACGCTTAGGTTGAAATCCAGTTTTAAGTAAAAAGTGCGAAGTGAAAAGGAGGCACCTTCCCTCAGGGATGGGTGTAGTTTTGGTCTCAGTGTGGTGTCCTCCCCCCCCAACCTCCCTCCCAGTTTGCTCTTTGCTGGGTCCAGTCCGGACCGCCTGAGCCCCAGCCTGGCCTGCCTGTTCTGCTCTTGGAGGCCTGTGATTGGAAACAAGGGGGGTTTCAGGTTAGCACTGACATGTGGTCGCAGAGAACCGAGGGATCTGCACAGCATCTGCCTGCCCTAATTGAGGGAGTAATTAGATTTGCATTAATATTCAGTCCTTTGAAAAGGGGGGAAGCAGAAAGATGGAAAGGTCTCTTCACTGAGGAAGTCTCCCTTCATAAAATGAAAGGGAATTTTAGAGGCATTTATCTGCCCTCCTATATAGTGTGATTGAAGGCTCTGAGAGCCGCCTGCTTCTTTCATTCTGCAGAGGGATTGCGCATAGAAAATAGCGCAGATGGATTTTAGATGATTTCAGGAACACTTCTGCTCGCCCACGGCTCCTCTATTTTGATAAAGACTGAGTCTGTTGTAAGCTGTAACAAATTGTGTTTCTACTTGCAGTTATGCAAGATGATAAAAGGAAAAGATACTACTAAAATTTTGAGGAAACAAAAATTTATGGTTAGATTTTATTAGTATCATGACGATTACGTGAGGAGATTTGATATCTAGTGGAAATAGAAAAAAACCCCAACTAAACAAAAACTAAAAGTAAAAACTGAAATTAAAAATTGTGTGTTTAGTCTACATTTCTATCAATACGTATTATAGGTAGTAATTACTCAAAATAGTCATTTTACTACTGTATCTAGCTGTTGGGATATTTGGTGTAAATGTATGTTCCAGGCTCCTACTTAAACTTTGCATTGGGCCTCCTTATCTAGGCTTTTGTACAGTCTTTTCTGAGCATCCTTAGTCTCCAAACACTGCAGAGACCGCCAGAAAATATTGCTTTTATCTGTATCTAATCCTATCACATTGACTCTATAGGTAAATTATAAATTTTGAAAAGGGAACTAACTCTCTAGGTACTGTTTTGTGCCTTAGAGCATCAATTTGTCAAATTTTGTGGGTTCTGGAAAGATTAATAATATCCCAATATTTATTAGGTAATAATTTGCTCATCCTATAGTATTAACCACTGATATATCAAAATGCCAACAAGTACAAATTTACATCGTTCTGGTAAATTGTCCTTTATAATTTTTTTTAATAATGCTTTAAAAACCTTTTTATTTGGAAATAATTTCAAGCATTGGAAAAGTTACAAGACTAAGAATAGTGTATAAGGAACTCTCATTTCTTTGTTTAGATTCACATATTAATAACATTTATCCCACTTGCTTTATCATTTGCATGCTCTGTGTGTGTATGCATATGTATGTGTGTCTATGTATACATAATTTTTTTCCTGAACCTTTTGAGAATAAGTTTTTTATACACACACACACACACACACACACACACATACATACAGACTTATAAAACCACCCTTTACACCTAAACAGCAGGCATATTCTTTTCGATAACAATGATACAATAATCAACCTCAGCAAATTTAACATTGATACTTAAATCTATCTAATCTACATTCATATTCCAATTTTGTCCATTGACTCATTAATGTCCTTTGTAGCATTTGCTTTATAAGTTAAATGACAGAGTGATTAAAGAGTGAGATAAAAGAAAGCCTCTTCAGATCTGGTATTTCAGCACCTATTGTTGTGACTGGGGGACGTGCCAACTAAGGAAGGGAATTAACTGGTCTGGTGGAGAGAGATGTGACGAGGAAGGGGGGCTGCGTTCTAGCCCAGGTTCCGCAGATGCCATGCGGCTGAGCGGGCTGAACGGGCCCCCCAGTCAGCCTCAGCTCCCCGCTCTGTGGATTTAACGAGAGTTGTACAACCTCTCATCTGTTGTTATGAAGGCTGTCATGAAGATTGACTCAGTGAGGAAAAGGTCGTAAAAATAGAATCATTTTCTTATTCCTCTGTTATTTCTGTCTAATGTATTTTAATGTGATAGGCCTGAAAGCCAAGCTAAGGGAGATTTAGTAAGACCCTGTAAGCTGTTTTCCTGCTAGCCGAGCAAATGAGAGGTCTTAAAACAACTTCTCCTTCCCCTCTGTGTTTCCTTTCCATCTGGAAGTGTGCCCTGTGCCTCCCAAGGGGAAGCGTCCAGAGCGTTCGTTTTCAGTGAGCCATTAGCGAGCTTTAGAAGTTTCCCATCAAATTCCCCAGGCCCCTGAAACCGTTACGAGCCATTTTGATGATGAACCAAAGCAAGAGAGACTGTACAGTTTGCAGTTTTTTTTACAAAGACAGTTCTGATGTTTGAGGGCTTCTCTGAGAGTTTTGGTGTCGCTCTCATTTAAAAAATATTTTCTTTTCCTTCCATGTCTTTCTTCCCACTCCCTCCTTATCCCCCTTTCTTGGTGTTCCCACAGTGCTTTGCCGACCACATTCTGAAAGAACTGGACCATTTTCCACTTGAGAAGAGACGCGAGGTGGTCATTCTTTTTTCTGCTCACTCGCTGCCGATGTCTGTAAGTAAGAACATTCTGTTGGATGACCCAGTGGTAGAGGATTTTGAAATGTGTGACATGGACTCAGCTTCTGTTTGGCCTAAGCCCAGTGCAAGGAAGAACTCTAAAATCTCAAACTGAACTTGGTGCTAATTTTAGACTCGTTTCTTGAAGCCTAATAACAATTCATTCAGACTATGCTATTGTGAATAGACATTGTCTTAATAAGTCCCTTTAAAATGGTAACTTGAAGATATATTCCTACATAAGAATTTTTAATAAGTGGGACAGTTAAAAGGAGACTGCTTTCTGCCTGCCCTGTTGAAGGAACTCAGCCTGACGTTTCAGGGTGTTGGATTGTAGACTGCGCCACCAGGGAAGCCCTCAACCCCATTCTTTTGTTCCCAAGACTTGGGCTGTTTGAATTCCCGGAAGTGATTAGTTTTTAATTTGCCAAGGCTAGGGAGCACATTTTGGCCAGTGAATATAGAGTGTGTCAACTTATGATCTGGTTGCTCCTGAGTTTCTCATATTACACTGGGCGTTCATTAAGATACCGCATCTGTGCCATCACTGTTGCATTTGTGGAGACAAGAATGATGGAGCTGGTGTATGTATGATATACAGAAGTGCTTGGGATAAGCAGCCAGTTTCATCAGCTTAGAACCAGCATTGTACCCTAAAAACATTGCTTTCAAAGCTGGAGCGGTAGAGAATTACATTTTCTTCGGTGTTATTAAGGTTTTAACTCCAGGGATAATGGAGTTAATACAAGTGTCGTGTCTGGGGCCACGCTTCTAATTGGTCTGTGCTGCCACCTGGTGGTCACCAGGGGCAAGCCCGTTGCAGCTTCTCTCTCCCGCATGTCACCTAAGCGGTGCCAGGTTCAGCAGTAGGTAGCTCTGGAGAGAAATTTCTCTCTTCTGGAAGCCTGCCTGTTCTCTTTTCTGGTCCCATGCAAATTCTCTTCACATGTCCATCCTCTTGCTCTGTCCTTCTCCTTTTTATAACCGTCCTGTGTGTGATGAGGCCGTGTCTGAAGTGCCAGAAGGGAAGCTCTCTAGCCAGGAAAGGAGGAAGCACGTTTTTATACGGGAACGATTCCAGGTGCTGCCTTCTCTCCTCTGTCTCTCACTTCACTTCCCGTTCTTCCCCTCAAGGACTGAAGATGCTGCTTCCAGATTTGTTTATTTGGGGGTTTTTTGCTGCCCAGGGTCTTGGGTGAGACTGAGAAATACCATGAAGCCAGGAGGATAAGGATGGGGTAGGGAAGGCAGAGGGATTGTCGAGCAAGAAAACTGTTCTCACAAGCTCTTCGTTCTCCCCTGCATTCGCTTCTAATGACTTTTTAAAAACGTATTATGTTGAAGTCATTTTAGACTTACAGAAAAGTTGCAAAAATAGTACAGTGTTCCCTTAGCTTCTCCTAATGTTGACATCTCACATAACCAGAGTCCAGTGATCAAAACTAAGGACCGAACGGCGGTACAGTGCTGTTACCTGAAGGCCTTACTCAGATGTCACCACTTCTTCCTCAGTTGTCCCTTTTCTGTTCCAGGATCCAATCCAGGATCTTACATGGCATTTACTTGTCACGTCTCCTCAGGATCCTCCAGTCTGTGACAGCTCCTCATACTTTCCTTGTCTTTCATGACCTTGATATTTTTGAAGAGAGATTTTGGTAGAATGTTAGTTATTTTGTAGCATGCTCCTCCATTTGGATTTGTCTGGTATTTTCTCATGATTAGACTGAGGTCGTGTATTATCAGGAAAAAAAAACCCTGGGGTGGTCTGTCCTCAGTGTAGCATATCAGGGGAACATGCTGGCAGTATGTTTTACTACTTGTGACGTGATCCCTGGTCATTTGTCTAAGGTGGTATCTTCTGGATTTGTCCGTTATAAGGTCACTATTTTTCTCTCTGTAATTACAAATATCTTAGGCAAGCTACTTTGAGACCGTGCAAATATCTTGTTGTTCCTCAGACTTTTGCCCACTAATTTTAGCCTCCATCAGTGGATATTTCTGTGCTGTTCTAATGGCGACTTTATATTTCCCTCATTCCTTCTACATTTATGTTCCTAATGGCAAACTAACTTTTAATAATATCATGAAAAGGTTCATCATTTTATTTCGACAATGTTTGTTGAACACCTACTATATTCCAGGCAGTCTTCTATCCTCTATCATAAGATATGGGAGTGAACAAAATAGACAGAAATCTTTGCCTCCAGAGAATGGGGGAAGGGGGACAGATGATAAACATAATACATAAGAAAATAATCTGGAATATTAGGAGGTAATAAGTGCTTTGGGAAGAAATAAAGCAGGATAAGGGGGCTAAATATTAAAGAAGTAAAAGTAACACTTCTACTGAACATTTTCAGAGGTATTAGCAAGCTGTTCTGGCTGTGAGTAGCATTTACAGACACTGTGCACAAAGCATTGCCATGGTCCGCTGTTGTGGGAAGAGTGGGGAAAAGGGATTAGAAGACACAGGCCATGCTCTTGAGGAGCCTGGAGTCTGAGCCCGCGTGCCGCTTCTTTCTCTTCTTCCACTAGTGTTTACCCTGTGTCCACCTGGTCCCCATAGACTCACACTGTCTGTACAGCACTCTTTCTTTTGTTTTTCTTTTTTGCAGTACGCGGGCCTCTTACTGTTGTGGCCTCTCCCGTTGCGGAGCACAGGACCCGGACGCGCAGGCTCAGCGGCCATGGCTCACGGGCCCAGCCGCTCCACGGCATGTGGGATCCTCCCGGACCGGGGCACGAACCCGTGTCCCCTGCATCGGCAGGCGGACTCTCAACCACTGCGCCACCAGGGAAGCCCCGTACAGCACTCTTTCAATTTCATTTCTAAAATCAGGGAGTTCCCTGGTGGCCTAGTGGTTAGGATTCCAGGCTTTCACTGTCGTGGCCCGGGTTCAATCCCTGGTTGGGGAACTGAGATCCCACAAGGTGTGCAGCGCAGCCAAAAATAAAAATAAAATAAAATGAAATAAAATCAGCCCCTCAGGTGACTACCAAGAGTGAAGGCCCATCCCTTGTTGCCTCTTCCTTCCCAGCTTTTCTGTCTCATTTTCCCTATTTCAGATGGGGGACTGAAGAAACCCATCCTCCATCGTCATACATTGTCAATCTCCCATGAATAACATGGACACAGAATTTGACATGTTCCTACGGACCTTAGAGATGATTGAGTACAGTGTTCTCCTTTGGCTGATGAAATTGATCCAAGGAAGTTGGGCGTTGAGCTCAGATGGCATGGTCGTTAGCGCAGAAGACAAGGGGCGGCCTCAGGTCCAGGACTCACGCCACCTCACCGCATAGTCCAAGGCTCTCAGAACCCTTCACGGTGTTGGTGACTGAACACCCGTGTCTCTGTTGCAGGTGGTCAACAGAGGGGACCCCTATCCTCAGGAGGTGGGCGCCACTGTCCAGAGAGTCATGGATAAGCTGGGTTACTCCAATCCCTACAGGCTGGTTTGGCAGTCCAAGGTAGGTGGCTTCCACACATCTGCAGGCAGTCAGCTCTCTTGAGGATGTGTATTTTAGGACATAGTTATAAAATGATTAGATTTGGCCCTTTCACGTAGGCAGAATGTTCTGTAACCTGACTGCTCCCATGAGCAGAAAGAACTCTGCAAGCAAATAAGAAGGAGGGAAAATCAAGTGACTACTGGAATTCCTCGATTCCATTGAAACAATAGATTTTTAATTGTAATCATAGGAATTGTTATATTTTGCCAATTTCGAGAAGGATTCAAGCTTAATATAGAAATACCAGAACCCATTAGAGAAGGTGTAAAACGTGGCCCTCACTCTTACAGGGAGGTGTGTGTATGTCCAGGGCAGTGGGCTGTGGTGAGACATGGGTCCCTGTGTGCATTCATCCTCCTTTCTCACAGGTTGGCCCGATGCCCTGGCTGGGTCCTCTGACAAACGAGGCCATTAGAGGGCTTTGTGAGCGGGGGAGGAAGAACATCCTTTTGGTTCCGATAGCATTTACCAGCGATCACATTGAAACGCTGTATGAACTGGACATCGAATACTCTCAAGTTCTAGCCAGCGAGGTAAGTGTGGTTATCAATCCCATTGTGATTTGTTTTAAAAGGAAACTCTCTCTGCAGTGATCTAATTGTGTCATTCAAAACTATTGTTCAGTATATATGTTTGCAGGTACTGTGGCCTCATTGTTCTGAATAATACTTCATCTGAGTACTGATCCGAACACATCAACTTAATCGCATGTTTGCAGTGGGAAAGCACTCTTGTGCCTTTGTGAAACCAGGCAGCCCAGGGATCACTGCAGGCGATATCATTTTGTTTAGTTTGAGTTACTATACCCCTTGAAAGTAATAAAAACTACATTTCCTTAAAAAAAAAATAATTGTACTTCTCACCAGTTTGGAGGAAAAGAATTTTCTTGTTCTATAATTCCTCTTCTTCGCCTAAGAGTGCCCTTTACTTGGGCTGTTACACTGCTTCTGGTTGGGTTTCGAGGCACATAGGAGTCATCGCCATTTAAGAGAAGGGCGTGGAATGAACACTGGAACAGTATGTGTAACTCCCTTGACCTCTGTATGCACTCACTTAATTAGCTCTTTGCTACTCTGTTGTGATCAGTCTGATTATTGAAATAACAAATACCATTCCGAGTTGTCTTGTAATGTAAGATGGATGTGATTGTCATTCACATGGAGAAAAACTATTGTTGACCCATCTCGGGGCTTCTGAGGGCCGGCCTGAAACCTGAGTCCACTTCTTAGCATTGTTTCTATGGGAATTGTGGAACCCTTGGGACCCAAGGAGCCCTTCCCTCTCATCTTCCACCAGATCTCTTGGCCCTGGTCACCCCACGTGTGATGGATGGGGCCCCGGCCTCGGAGGATACTTCACCCTCTCTGGGACCAGGTGGCAGGTGCAAGGAAGGGTGGAGAGTGGACTGGGGGAGAGCTTCAGCAGCACCCGACCCCACAGGTTTTTGTACGGATGTACTGGTCATCAGTCACACATTGATGAAGGTAGAGGGTGCCTAAGTTAGTTGTCAGTAGTTCTGATAAGGAATTTATGGGGAAGTTGTAGTTGGCTAACATGAGGTTGTAGGGTTGTCTATGGACTTCATTTGCCGATGCCTTCTAGGGACTTCCCCAGCAGTCCAGTGGTTAAGACCCTGCACTTCCACTACAGATACAGACAATCTCTGGTTGGGGAACTAAGATCCCACATGCCATGTGGCACAGCCAAAACAAAACAAAAAAATGATGCCTTCTATATCCCAGCAATGACCTTGGCTAATGGTGACCTTGCTAGAAAACTGAAGTGCAATGGTAGTTCATACCAGTGTATTTGGAAAACAAATTTTTGTTTGTATTGCATGATAATTCACATTCATTCATATAACCAAACTGAGGTCATTCCTTAGTAATCAAATGGATTATTAGTGACTAATATATTAGCCTATATAGAGAATAAAGAAAACCATCTACTACAATTAATTTCCTTATTTTGAAGGGAGAATACACTACATTTCAAACTGTTAACTTTCTCTAAAAAGTAGTTTGAAATTTTTGCCCAAAATAGAAATTATTGCTTTTTGATAATAAAAATAATAAAGAACTCATTTCAGAGAAGTGTGACATAGAGAGTAGAACTCACCCAGACTCTTACCCCTGAGAGATATGTTAATATTTTGTTAAAAATAAGTCCCCTTTTCCCTCTAAATGTGCGTGTATCTTAATGAAAGTGGTATTCTTCTACACATTTAGTAAAAATGGTATTTTATTCACACTGTTCTTGTAACTTTTTTTCCTCTTAAAAATGTATTATGTATACATTAAAAATGTATTAGTATACTTTTTCTTTTTTTTTTTTACATCTTTATTGGAGTATAATCGCTTTACAATGGTGTGTTAGTTTCTGCTTTGTAACAAAGTGAATCAGTTATACATATACATATGTCCCCATATCTCTTCCCTCTTGTGTCTCCCTCCCGCCCTCCCTATCCCACCCCTCTAGGTGGTCACAAAGCACCGAGCTGATCTCCCCGTGCTATGTGGCTGCTTCCCACTAGCTAGCTATTTTACGTTTGATAGTGTATGTATGTCCATGCCACTCTCTCACTTTGTCACAGCTTACCCTTCCTCCTCCCCATATCCTCAAGTCCATTCTCTAGTAGGTCTGTGTCTTTATTCCTGTCTTATCCCTAGGTTCTTCATGACATTTTTTTTTTCTTAAATTCCATATATGTGTGTTAGCATACGGTATTTGTCTTTCTCTTTCTGACTTACTTCACTCTGTATGACAGACTCTAGGTCCATCCACCTCATTACAAATAGCTCAATTTCGTTTCTTTTTATGGCTGAGTAATATTCCATTGTATATATGTGCCACATCTTCTTTATCCATTCATCCGATGATGGGCAATTAGGTTGTTTCCATCTCTGGGCTATTGTAAATAGAGCTGCAATGAACATTTTGGCACATGACTCTTTTTGAATTATGGTTTTCTCAGGGTATATGCCCAGTAGTGGGATTGCTGGGTCATATGGTAGTTCTATCTGTAATTTTTTAAGGAACCTCCATACTGTTCTCCATAGTGGCTGTACCAATTCACATTCCCACCAGCAGTGCAAGAGTGTTCCCTTTTCTCCACACCCTCTCCAGCATTTATTGTTTCTAGAATTTTTGGTGATGGCCATTCTGGCTGGTGTGAGATGATATCTCATTGTAGTTTTGATTTGCATTTCTCTAATGATTAATGATGTTGAACATTCTTTCATGTGTTTGTTGGCACTCTGTATATCTTCTTTGGAGAAATGTCTATTTAGGTCTTCTGTCCATTTTTGGATTGGGTTGTTTGTCTTTTTGTTATTGAGCTGCATGAGCTGCTTATAAATTTTGGAGATTAATCCTTTGTCAGTTGCTTCATTTGCAAATATTATCTCCCATTCTGAGGGTTGTCTTTTGGTCTTGTTTATGGTTTCCTTTTCTGTGCAAAAGCTTTGAAGTTTCATTAGGTCCCATTTGTTTATTTTTGTTTTTATTTCCATTTCTCTAGGAGGTATACATTTAAGATGTTTCTAATTTTTTGCTTTCATAAACTGCTCTGTAATAAACATCATTTTTCCAATTATTTTCTTAGAAATAATTCCTAGCAATGGAATGTAAATGTTGATACATATTTTATTGGATTGTCCTACAGAAATACATCCTTTAAGTCTCCCATGAACAGTGTTTGAGAACACTTGGGACTCCCCTGGTGGTCCAGTGGTTAAGGCTCCTCACTTCCACTGCAGGGGGCACGGGTTCGATCCCTGCTCGGGGAACTAAGATCCTGCATGCCGTGCAGTGTGGCCAGAAAGAAAAAAACAGTTTGAGAACACTGACCAACTGGTTATCCTGCTGTTACTTCTACATGAAGTTTTGGAATATGATCAATCTCTTTTTAAATTGAGAACTATGTGTTTGCTGAATCTCACCATTTTCCCCTTCCCAGTCTTCTAACTTAAAAGATAAAGCAACAAAAAAGCCATCAGCATTTCAGAAAGGGAAAGAGAAGATCCTAGCTACCTGAGTAAATAAGAATTAGATACTTCTCAGTTATTTGGGGGATAATTAGCTGGAATCAACTGGATATTTTTGGAGAGGGGAGCAGGGATGGTTGTAAACAATCCTTAGGTTTTTAATTTAGATTTTTCTATGTAAGAATATATTTAAAAACCCAACTCTGCGTATTGGATCCAATCTAGTTTCAATATACATTAAATTAATTTACCTCTTTTGGCACTTGGAATCAAAACGTGTAAAAATTTAAGTCATTAAAGCAACATTCTGCTTAGGTAGAATCTGTAAAAGTATGCATTAGAAAGGTAGACTAAAATAAGAATGGTAAGCAGATTTAAATTACTTGAGTATTCTATCAGATACAAACCTCAAAAATGGTTTGGAAACAAAGCACCCATGGGAAGGTAATGCGATGAGGGAAGGAATAGAAATTGAAGAGCAATTTTAATATAAACGGGTGAAAATCAGCAACTATGTCTGGTCCCCGGACTGTTTTTCATTTCTGGGTAGTCTGGGAACACTTTGGTACTAAGACTTCGAGTTGTGTTTGTGTATGTGTGTTTATTTATTTATTTTATTTTTTGTAGCAGTTTCTTTAAAAAAAAATAAAAGGAAAATAAAACGTGTATGTATTTTTCCTCCCTTTTCTCATTTGATTTCAGTGTGGGGTTGAAAACATCAGAAGAGCAGAGTCTCTTAATGGAAATCCACTGTTCTCGAAGGTATCTCTAGCGTTACAACCATTTTAGTAGAACATGTTGGAGAGCAGTCCTCTGAGAAACTCTTACAGAATATTGGTTTTCTCACATATTAGAACATTTTGAGTTCCAATTAATTACAAAAATAAAATCGAATCCCTTATGCTCTCGCTCTTTTCTCCTTTAGAGAGCCCCCGTTTTCTTATTTCTACCCATCTATCACTATGTCTAATTAAAAATCTGCCTTTCAGAGACAAGGTTCAGCAGGTGGGGTGAGAGGATTTCCTTTTCTAAAACCTGTATTTGAAACTTTTCTCTAAGCTGAGAATTCTTAAGAAAGGAAGACATCATAGAATTGGGTTCAAAGGGTTCATAGGTTTTGAATGAAAAGAAAGTGGCTCCTCTGGGGAGATGGGCGAGGGGAGGTGTGGGAAGCTGCGGCCGCTCTGCTGCTGATGGGTCTCTCCTGCTTGTTGTCTGTCTCCAGGCCCTGGCCGACTTGGTGCACTCACACATCCAGTCCAACGAGCGCTGCTCCACGCAGCTGACCCTGAGCTGCCCGCTCTGCGTGAATCCCGTCTGCAGGGAGACCAAGTCCTTCTTCAGCAGCCAGCAGCTGTGACCCCGCCAGGGCGCCGCGGGGGTTTGGCAGGTGCCCAGCCTCCAGACACCTCCGAGGTGGAGGAGGATGTATTTAGCATTAGGGAGGGAGTCACATTGATGTGGGCGTAGCCTTTGGCCACAAATTGTGTACCTTCTTGAGGAATGGACTCTGAAATCCTTATTGAGGGGTATTTTTATAGACCAATACAGTAAGCATTTATAGTTCCCCTCTCTGGGTTAAGTTACTAGTTTGGAATGTCCACTAGGCTATTTTAAAAATGAGTTTTAAAAATTTATCTTATGAGATGCACACGTATTTTCAATACCGATTTTGGTTTTATTGCCCCCCAAAACCCCTGCAGGGGTACGGAGAGTGCCCTCTGTGGGGCTGTCAGAGTGAGTGAGGTCTGTTTACAATCTCATACTTGTTTTTTAAAGTGAACATAGTTGAGTAAATGAAATATAATTTGAAAAAAGAAAGGGTACCTAATCTTTCCGTCAGCCCGTGGGTTACAGGATGCTGGTCCGGTGATGTGGTTCCTACAGTGGCTGCTCTTGCCGGTGACGTCACTAGTAATCGGTCATTTTGGTCCTTGTATGTGAACCTCACTTTCCTCACCATGAAACCGAATCAAGTGTAGGTTCCTAAAGTGCTTTGAGATTCCCCAGGCACACAGGGCTGATAAACGTGTAGCAATCCCGCATTTGTCATCCCCACCTTGGTGGGAATCGTTGGTGCCACAGGAGAGGGGGGCTGGAAATGCTAATGAAGGGCTTCATGTCCAGAGCTCCTCTCAGGACCTCGTGGACATTTCCATTGAGCATCTTCTTCATCTTGGTTGAATGTCCCCTTTCCACATGTTTGTTTGAAGATTTATTTTATAAAGTCAACGATGTTTGGTAACCTCAAATTCTTAATTTACAATTTTTATTATAAAAATTATATAACCGTGCTATAGGAAATTTAAAAAATAGAGAAAAGGAAAATAACCACTCTAATGCAACAAATATGATTCATATTATTGTATTTCATGTTAGTCTTTTCCTGTGGATATCTTAGATGCCATTGTAACCTTGAATTTGTGAGTGAAAAGTTGTCCTAAAATGTAGAAATAATGTAGGATCAGAGTCAGATCTTCTATACCTGGATTTATATGGATTTTAAAAATCTCTGATGGATCCATAGTGAATTTGTAATAATTACTTTCTCTTTCCTTTAAGCCTTACAACTTTGTTCTTTGAAAGTGCCTTTCTTTTTTTTTTATTTAAGCCAGTGAAAGTATTAGTGGAGTCATAGATCTTCTATATTCAGTATTTACTATATTAATAAATATGACATCATTAAGGTTTTAACCAGTCTGATTCATTCTCTCTGTTAAATCAAAAGTAATCCAAATTCATTACTAATCAAAATTATTAAATAAGAGGAATTTACTTGGTAGTACAAGAAAAGTAACATGCCATCCACGTTAGTTAATAGTTTTCCCACACTGATAACAGCTCTGAAATTTGAGTAGCATCTACACTTTTGTTTTTCCAAATTGGCTTTCCTTTTAGTAGATTGTGTTTCCAGAAGAGGGTACAAGGCATAGACAGTTGTTTAGAATTTTCCTCTTCTGTTTCCACGCACTTTGGGGGGACTAGGTTCAAGGTAGGCTTTGAGTGACCTTGGCGGGATGGCGTAAGGAGCAACTCGTGTGTTAGCCAGAGGGCAGAGTTTAAAGCTGGCGGCCATAAGAAAGAACTAACATTTGTGTGTGTACACGTGCGCTGGTGTGTAAGCCTAGAGCCCTTGACTGCACCCTTGGTACTGCATCTCTAAGCTCTCAACCCAGCCTATAAAACCCCTTCTGTCGGATCCTGAAGATGGCCCAGGAACATGCTTCCCAACATTGGGTGGAAATGGGAAATTCATTGAGATGTTGCAAGCTGGAAAAAGAAAATTCTGAGTTGACCCCAAAACTAGTGTCCTAAATAAGGTCGTTCAGTTTCTCCGTCTTAATATGGAAATCCTCAGAGAAAGACAAAAGCTAATCTTTTCTTTCCTTATTTCTAAAAATTATAAAATTAAAAACATTTCATCAAGGTTGTACCCCAGACTTTGTAAATTTCATTCCTAGGAGTGTTGTTCTAATTGCCTAATAATAGAGATTCCATTGTAAAAAAACCCCTTCAGTAACTTCTCCCAGTCCAGATGGCCTTCTGTGACATTCAGCTTTCTTTTTATAGAAGCTAGCATCATAAGGTTTCAGGGAATGTACATCAAATGAATTAAGCCTGAATATCGGATGGCTCAAGAAACCTGAATTCTGCTTAAATCATTGCCAGTTGAAATATTTAATCATGTCATAATTATATTGAAGTTTTGTATGCTTGCTTTCTAACATTCCTGGTTAATTCAAACAGTGGCACCTGAAAACTTGATCTTTTTTTTTTTTTGCTAGATTTCTTCCAGCTGGACAGTTGTGTGGTATGACTATTATCTAATCTTTGCCTTAAAAGACATGCTTCTTTTCTTAATACACTTATTTTGGAAAGTATAAAGTGTGCCAAGCCATAAGGCACCGAGGTGAGTGGTGGGTACCGGTGGGCAGTCCAGAGAAAGAAGCTGATGCTGTCAATATTCGCTGGATGGCACCAACGTGACAAGCAACGGCAGTGGGCGCCCTTTAGCGGAACCATGGCTCCCAGCGTGAGATGAGTCTTAGGAGGGCTCTGGGGAGTGGGTGACCTCCAGAGAACACATTCACAATCTAGACTCCCAGGAGAGGAAGAAGTGGTTCTGCTTTTGCTGTGGGAATCTTATTAAGCCTTTCTACAGGGAAGAGGAGGTGGAAAACAAATGCACCCGTGATAATCAGTTTCTTACAATACACTCTGATAGTGTCGGCTTAATCGTTTTTAGCTGAAATCATTAGCTTCCATTTTTAGCATTAACAGCTCCTGGCTAAATTAGTCTACGGTAAGCCATTAGGAGGGATGTTGGAATTAAAAACATCTTTGGAAAAAAGCCTGGTTTGAACCTGTGTTATAAGCCCTTGGGCAGGAGTTGCCGGGTCCTGTTTCTGGTTGTTTGACAGCTGTCACTCTGATGTTCCAGGTGCTCTCTCAGCAGCCTGCTCCTGAAATGAAATCGTGCAAGCCGGCTTTTTTCCTTCCACTCTCCCCAAGGGGTTGAAGCTTTACTTTCCTGACATATTAAGAAGTAATAGATTTTACCCTGAGAATTCATGAGGTATTTTTACCTTTTCCGTATTTAAAAAAAAATTATATACATGAGATGGGATTAACTGCACAGGCATACAAGCAGGGGCTTGCTGGCCAATTGTTAAAATTTCAGGTTGTTACACATAGCAATTATTAAAAGTGTTATATCTTACAGTTTAATTATATTTTAAAAAGTAACAAATACTCAAAAATCATTTCCCTATTATTTTACTATATTTTATCATCTTTATTCTAGAGGTTATTTATGCTTATGACACCTATATGGTGAAAATACTATATAATGATGATGAGCTACTGTACGTCTCCAGCTTTGTTCAGTGACTGTGTTGGTAGCTTGAAATTGGCTACAGTAGGGCTATTTACGTTTGGAAATCAGCAAATACTACAACTTAGGGCTTCCTTGATTGTTTTGTTGATTACCTAGACTTAAAGTGGTGGAAAAAATGTTCATACATATTAAAAGTTGTCATGTCTCCAGCCATTACATCGTGAATAGCACGAAAATTTGAGGAAATATCCTCCCATTATGTGAAAACTAATAGCCGATTTATCCAAGTGAAGTTTTGATATACAAAGTTGTTTTACGTTTGTATCACTCATTAATGTAAATGAAAACATCAGCATTCATGGCAGAACTATATAGGGTGGCTACAGATGCGAGAGCTTGATAAAAGTCAACGAAAGCATTCTTTGAGAATTGATTATATGGAATTTACGGTAAAGAGAATTATGTATTTTATTATTACTTGTAAATTGTGCATCCTATATCTTTTATACTGGTAAAAGTTATAATAAACATACACACATGTACGTATAGATTGTTTTTTCAGAGAGCTGGTTGGTGACCATTTACCAAAACACTACTGCCTCAAATGGAACTTTTCTGGGATGATGGACATGGTCTATGTGGATCGCATACTTGCGTTGTTCCCAGATTCATTATATATAGAGAGGTAGCTCGCTCTGTAGATCGCTGTCTCTTTAGAGTGGAAGCTACCCCATGGTTACTAGAAATTTTAATCTTTTTAGTAAGATGCCAGTTGTGTCCAAAAAAATCCCACGGGCCTGTTGTACTAACAGGGGCCCTGAGAGGCGAAGGTTTGCTTATATCTGATAAACATCCTTATAGACAGAATCTTTGGACATATTTTCAGTCATTTCCGCAGGAAATATCCCTTAGAAGTGGGTTTTCTGGATCAAAGCATATTTATGCAGATTTTAAAAAGAGGATTAAATGAGATCACATGCCCAATGTATTTAGTAAGGTGCAGTGTTTGGGTGGTGTGTGTGTGTGTGTGTGTGTGTGTGTGTGTGTGTGTGTGTGTGTTAAAGGCCCAATAAATGGTAGCTATTATTGACTTGTGTTACTCACTTGGTTAGCAGACGATGGCTGTCTTGTTCTCAGTGTGACTTTATTCTAGGAGGTGGAATTTTACTGTGTTGTTTTTTCATGAAGATGTGATGGCAGAACGAATGTTATCCTCAAAGGTCAGAGCATTCACAGAGCCTCTAGGAATCAGGGATCAATTCTCTAGTCCTGCCTTTTATGTTCCTTGTTGCATTTACTTTGGGTCACTTGCCCTGAGGAGGTCACAGGTAGAGAGAGAAGAGACAGACTCTAAAGCTGTCGATCCTCCTTCATCAGTAACTTTGCAAAGAGTTTGAATGTTGGGAGAAAGTTGAGTTTCAGGTTTAAACAACTTGGGGGATTATGTGTGGATTTCACTTACCCTTTACGGGTCTGCAGGTACCTGAGAGTTGCCTGTGTGTGTCCCGCCTGCCAGCCTGTCGCCGTGTGGCTCTCAGAGGGCAGGGCCGTCCATCAAAGCCGGGCCGGCCTCCAACTCAGGTAACCACTGCACTTACACAATTGTCCCTTTAAGAAACGTCAGCAGGGAATGTGTTCCTTCCTGTTTCTGCGCTTCTGAAGGTTTTCATGTCCATGCTAACCCACTGCGGGTCTGGGCCAAGGCCAAGTTGCCCATCAATATTGTAAAGTAGCAGCGTTATAAAATTTATGGAAGACGCACAAAGAACAACTCCCTGAAGTGACCAGCCTGCTGAGAGGGGATATTGGATAAAAGGGGATTTCCCACTTGGAAACAGTGTGACATCAAGTGCCCAGCTGGGGAGACCCTTTATACTCGTGGGCTCGGAGCTTGGGGAAGAAGGAAATCTGACCTGGTTTCAAATCCCACCTACAACTGTTAATTTATTTGGTTATCTATTAACAGTCTCCTGGCAGCTTACTTTTATGTTTAAAATTAAGTGCTTGATTGATTATTTTATGGAACAGTGATGGGCTGTTGTTCTATACATAAACCAACCCATTAGTGGGCTCTCTCATTACTGATCTCTTTCCTTCTTTCTTGGTTCATTTTGTGTGTGTGTGTGTGTGTGTGTGTGTGTGTGTGCGTGCGTGCACCTGAAGGTTGGGAGAGCTGGAGGAAAGGACTCTTTGTTCTGGGCTTGTATACATTCCCCAAACTACACATCCACAAGGATTTTCCAGCGTCCAAGGATTAATTCTCAGCATGATTCACAGGTACAGGCAGAGTCCCAGAGAATCTGTTATTATGCTGATTTCATTTTATCAAAAAATCTTAGCATAAGCTCTTATTTTTAAAAACCTCTACTCTCCTTTTATCTGCTTTTGGAGACATCTTCAAATCTTTCTGTCTTTCTAAGATTTGCGTCTGATGGTTGGGACTCTATTATTATTTTAAGTTGGGTTTATTAAGTATTAAATAGGTACTCAGAGATATCTGTAAGGGAGAACCTGCTGACTCCTGTGCTCGGGAAGGTTTCTCGTGGTCTGGCTGCTTGCTGGTCTCTCGGCCCTTGCGGTGGACAGGGGTGGCCTACACTGGCCTGACCTCCCAGAATGTTCATCTCTGGCCATCAGAACAGTATTGTTCCAGGCTCCTCAGAGCAGCACATACAAAGCAGGATCTGACCTGTGTTCTGCCTGAAAAAGGTTGGGAAACGCTGGAAAGAGGTGTCAAGGATGACAGTCGAATGCACCTCTGTGTCCACAGTACCGTGTAAGAAGTAAACCGTGTTGTTCTTTTTCTAAGCTGCCCTCATTTGGGGTAGATGGTCCTTCCGATCTATAGATGAGAAGAACAGGTACAGGGACAGGTGATCCAGTCCATCAGCCCTCCCTGCTGCTTTGCCTGTCATCTTAGAAGATCCATCTTAGAAGGAAGTCCAGCTCCCTTCATCTCACAACCCGAGGGTTCATCGTGAATAAACAAGCAATCTGTACCGTGGACCATACTTTAAGTAAGAAGCATGTCCCTAAGATTTCTATGGAAGCGGGTTTTGTAAATCTAATTACATTTTTCTTTCCTCTCCTTTTTTTTTTGTGGCCATGGTGTGCGGCTTGTGGGATCTTAGTTCCCCGACCAGGGATGGAATCTGTGCCCCCTGCAATAGAATTGCGGAGTCCTGACCACTAGACCGCCAGGGAAATTCCTAAATCTAATTACATTTAACATGTATTTTGGGAGGCAAAGGAATCTAAAGGGAAGCATCAACAAAGTAAAGAATGTTTCTCTAACACACTCTCACCTCGGCTAATTTGTAAATCTGGGTTTTGGACTCAGGCTAGAACATGTCTGGGGTCAGTTGCCAAGTCTTCCTGAGAAAGAAACTGGGCTCCATTAGGCAAAAAGTAGATGGAATAATAGCCCAAAAAGCCATTATTAGAAGCTGTATAATGGTAAAGGACATGAGGACGGCACGTTGGTGTCTGGGCTGGGGGGGTGGTGCTAATTTTCCAGGTGGCCTTTTCGTTCTCATCCCTCCTGCAGGAATAGAAATTTCAGTTTGACAGGACCTGCTGCTGCAGCACACAGATAG